CCCCATGCCAACCCTGACCTGTCCCCGTGTGGGACATTGTGCATAACTCCAGCAGCAATGACAGGTTTTGGGCCAGAGACGTTTTTTCTGGGCAAGAGACCCTTTTTTGGGCCAGCCCCCAATACCTCTGCCTGTTTCCTCTAGGTTCTCTTGCATGTGGAAGCAAAGCTCACTCAGAAAAAGTAGTGTTTTACTGTTTTTTGTTTATTTCCAAGGAAAAAAATAATAATCACATTTAAATTGCAACTCAATTGGGTATTTAATGTGGTTCTTATGTATAGAATTAATAAACTTTGTTCTGACATGGGGATTTATCTGTCGCAACATTATGCGTGGTAAATAATTGCATATTCGAGATTCGGTGAAATGGGTGACAGGGAGAATGGAGGAGAGACATTTATAAAAAACAGTATTTACAAAAATGATATCCACATAGTCGTATTCTAATCTATAAGGCAAGTAACATTTAAAATATGTTGTTTCATGATTATCTTCAACAAGTCAATACAACACATTCATATTACCAGTGGTCAAATACAAAGCTTCGCTGCAGTAGTCCCTGTGCAACAAACCTGTACGTCTTTTACATTTTTTTTTCTCTGAGAACGGTAGGAAAGCAGCAAAGTTTTCATCACAGACTAAGCAGTACCTAGGCCATCGTAGACTAAAGGTATAATATATCTCATTGCACGTTTAGGCAAAAAAGGCCAGCCATTCATTAACTTATTTAACTTAAATCTTAAAAATAGACCTGTGTATTTTAATCCACAAATATTTATAAACATTTTATACATGAGGGAGTTCATAAAATGATACAGGGTGATACCTGGGGAAATCTGATTCACTGCTGGGGTGTCCTGGTGAGGTTCTCCTGCATCCCGTGCTCTCCATCCACCAGCCCTGGCTGCAGGAGAGAAGCTTCGCAACACATCCCAACTGGATTCCTTGCTTAGACCATGACCAACATCTCCACGTTTTATATAATCCAAGCAACCAGGTGATTTCATCAACCTTAAAGCATTTTGGAATAGAAAAGCCCATCCATGTGTGGATGAGGAACCTGACAGCACAATGGCTGTACTCAGAAAGAGGGGGATTTCTAATGGAGGAACAAGATATCCCAAATGCCTCACTAAAACCTGGTGTGTTTCACCACATCCTGCATGGCCTGTGCTGAGTCCAACTTGTCTGAAAACCTTGGAAGAGCATCACCATGCTAACACTTGTGGTTTCAAGAACCATTGCCAGCAGCATCATCCCTCCTAAAGGGAAAGGGAAGGCAGAAGCAGGGCATATTCCCATAAATCTTTTCCTAGCCTTGCAGTGAAATAGGAATTAAAATCCTGATTGAAATAAGAACTAAAATCCTGATTATCATAAAACCTCCCCAGCTCTGCAAGGATTACTTTCCTTGGGAAATGGTGAGAAAAGAGGAACAGAAGAATTCTGGCTATGAAATGAAATCTTTGAGGCAGTAATTTCTTACCAGGAAAGTATGACATGATGTTACATATAAAATATGTCAAGCTTCAAAACTAAGTGTTTTAACAAAAATGTTTTCAGATAAAAACAACAGAAGAGTAGGGAAAAAACCCACTCCATACTCAGTGTATGGATGTGGGGTATTTTTTAAAGTAGATGTTGACTGTTTGGGTAGGTGGAATGGCGCAGGATTCCTCTGTGACCCAAAACTGCCCCATGTGCCCAGTGGGCACAGAAACAGTTGCTGACAGAGATTGGTGACCAAGAATGAGGTCTGCATGTTTTTAGGAAAAGATGTTTGATTCCTTCTTAAGTCTTTTAAAAATCTCAGTGTACTCAGTCTTTTAAAATGCTTCTGCTGGGAGAAAGGGAAGCAGTGACTCTTTATGTGATGCTTGTGCTGGAGGATCTCGGGTGGCTGCAGCCTTCCCTCCCCATCCCCTTCCTGCCTGGCTAAAACAGGATGTCATTCCAACAGAAATTTGTAGGTTTTTCTCACCTATGTTTTAAAAAACTTTTAATAGATAAAACCTCAAAAGGGCAGATCAAAGGCAAATTAATTTAAATGAAATCCTGAATGGCAGGATTAAACAGGAGAGCGATATTTAAGCGATATTTAAGAGGCACCAAATGAAAAGCTCATTATTTGGTACTATTTCATACTAGTGAGTGATTTCATAATCATTAAGAAATACTGTTACAGTAGAAAAATGGTCTGAAAGGTCTCCTGGGAGGAGCACCATAAGCTGAGAATCCTGACTGTTTACAACAAACAGGAGAAAAGTTCCCCCAAAAAATTTACTTCCTGCTCCTGACATCTAAAAACCCAAGTCTTCAGGTGTCTGAGGGGGAAAACCCTCCTGCACCATCAGAGGAACTTTGACTCTGCAGGTGTGGGCTGCTGAAATTGCCTGGAGAAAATTCCTTTGGGAGAGGTTGCTGAGACACAGTCTAAAGGGAAAGGTCCACGGGAGTAACCGAGCTAAAGCCTTTCGGTGCATGTATATTTTTATTTAACGCCTTCTTTATTTGTCCTTTTTTTCACTCAGGTAGATCTGAGTGCTGCTGAGCTCAGGAGTGCCAGAGCTGGGCAGTGCCAGAAGGCTGAGTCCCCTTTCCAGCCTTAGTCTGGCTTGGCAAAAGACCTGCTGGACCACATACTGGGAAACAGAGCAGCGGTGCTTCCCGCTAGGATTGCTCCAAGGCTGGAGCCCCTCTGCTCTGGAGACAGGCTGAGAAAGCTGGGGGTGTTTAGCCTGGAGAAGAGAAGGCTCCAGGGAGACCTTAGAGTTCTTCTAGCGCCTAAAGGGGCTCCAGAAGAGCTGGAGAGGAACTTTGGACAAGGGCTTGGAGTGACAGGACAAGGGGGAATGGCTTCCCTCTGCCAGAGGACAGGGGTAGATGGGATATCGGGAAGGAATTCTTGGCTGTGAGGGATAAACATCCCTATACGTGCTTCTATTTGATGCTCTCCATTAAAAACTCATACCAACCTAAGCTGCTGCCCATAACCTTTTTCTGCTGAGACGTTGTCAAAGCCAGGCAGGAAGAGGACCAGGTTCCTGCACTTTGGACTCGGGAACAACAACAGGTGTGATCCCCACCCTGGGTAACACTGGGGGGCCACATTTGTACACGTGCAAGACAAACACCCAGCAAAAGCAGCATCCCTGTGGCACTCTGCTAAAACACTATGCAAAAAAACTGGCCAAAGCAGTATGGAAGGAACCTGTCCCCTGTCCCAAACCGCTAGTTTTGGTCCCAGTGTTGTGGGTTTGGTGTCACCTGTCCATGGCCGGAGGGGAAATCATATCACTGTGGGACTGGAGGTGTGATGGCACATTGGACACAGCCCTACCAGCCAATTCACCCCAGAAAGTGCACAGAACTGTCCCATCTCTCTACTCAGGCCACAGGAGCTGCATCCCAAAAAAGTGACCTCCATTTTGTGCCACAGCACAAATGGGACGAGCTTGGAAGCTTTGGGTCATGGGTTTTTCTGTTTAAAAAGCATTCAAAAACCCAATGCTATGTAAACACCTTGTCTTTCGAATGAAATATAAAGTAAAATCTCTATGTTCTGGTAATATTTACACAATAAACCCCTTATTTTTGGGCCTAGGCCATAGATCTCTTTTGAAAGGATGAGTTTGTAACAGTTGTACACAGCATGAAGTGATGATGCACAAACTGATTCTTAGGGTTTGCCCTGTATTCCTGTGTTAGAAAGGGGTGGGTTACACACTTTATACATATTTCCAGTTCAGGGGGAAAATCATTAATGGAGTGGGACACTCCATCCAGGAGCACTGCTGAGTGTATTTCCAAAATCTACCAAGATGTGGGAAGCTGCAGAACCAAATTGTGCTTTATCTTCCCTGTTGCTGCTTTTTGTGAACGCACACACACAGCTCACCCCTCAATCATACAAATCGCAGCCTGGGAGTCACCTCAGACCTGTAATATCTCCAAATTTCCTTATTTTCTTTTAAGATGGGCACAAATCTGTTTTTCTACTACAGTTTCCAAACTGCTCGATGATCAAGCACTTCCCAGCATGCCCAGTCTAAGTGTTCCAATGCAAATACACAAGCCTAATCTTGGCAACATTTGTGACTAAAAAATCAGAACTATTTGTCATCTTACACATTCCCAAAGTCCCCATCATGCAGTTCAGTGGATGCTTCAGTGGAGCTTCTCTGTGCATCTGAACTGCAACTGTAATTTTGTGAAGAGCCTTACTTTTCCTTCCCAATATTGCCAAATTCTCCCATTAAACAGGCTCCACATCTCAGCAGATGCTGTGCCATTAATGTCACCAATGCTGTCACCATGTTGCCGGAAGTAGGATGAGACCAACATCAACAAGATCCCAAAAGCTGCACAGGGATGAGCAGCAGGACACCATCTCCCAGGGAAAACACAGAGGGATAACTTTTTGTCCCCCAGCCTCCCGTTTAGCACTGTCATGTATTTTCCCATCTCCAGCTGCTCCCAATGCCAGCGAGTCTGGCTTCTGCCCCGCTGTATTTTGGCAGCTCCCCAGGGAACTGTTTCCCAGTCCATACACACTTTCCTGCCTTAGTGGTAAAATGGAAAGGCCTGGGGGGCGGCACGTCTTTAAAACATTTTCTAAACCTGTAGGGCTTTCAAAAATGGGGGGGAAAGGCAGAAAAAGCGAGCAAAGGAACATAAAAATGCAACCGAAAATCTGGAGGCGGCTCAGAAAACGCATCCTTAAAAACAGCAGGAACATTTCCTGACATTGCTCTGAGCTCAGATTTATCACCCAGTCTCTTTGCTGCTTGTTTCCTTATCTGAATCCCTGCAAAATGTATGGGCATGGGGTAAAGAGAAGCATTAGTCTCCTACACGCTGCTGGGACTCCTGACAGGAAATCTGCAGCTGTAAGAGAACACAGAGCAGGTTGGGAATTTGGAGTATTCCTTGTAGATTTTTTTCCTGGGAGAATGTGCTAGGAACCTCCACCTTTACAGCAATATTCCTCTGGAGTTAAACCAGCTAAACCTGAAGATTAAGCTTTTTATTCATTGCTGTGAGACGTACTAAGGACTGAAGGGAAAGTAAATCAGCATGTGGGCTCTACTGAACTCTCTTTTGATGAGGCACCCCCTTCATAACAGCTACCAGTATTGTATTTAAATCGTATATATTGACAAAATGTAATCTACCTCTGTAAGCATTGTGCCATTCAACAGTACTACTATTAGATTGATATACCACAGTTTAAATTACATCCATTTCATGAATGGTAAAATGCTAAAACTCAAGTGTCTAACTGCCAAAATACAGCCTTACTGGAATGAGTACAATTTACAAATACAATAATTACATTTTAAAACCATTAACAATGTTACATCTAGAAGTAAATACTGTAGGACTGGTCAAGATGGTGTTTTCCAAGGAAAAAAAATGCTGAAAGTTGTCGACACTTCCAACAGAAATGTCCCGAGTGCAGGATTTAGTTCATTTTCCTTAAACTGTAATTAAAACCCGTTCCACACACAGCAGTCCTTGGGTATTTTCCATAGTATTTTCCACAGGCTTGCATAAGCTTCCATCAGTTATCAGCCAAGTATTTACCTAGAAATGGGATCAGAAATCAACTGTGGGGAGGGAGCAGCCCCAGTTCCTAAGGCATGGTTGCCCACCTCCACCAGCCCCACTCCCATGGGGCACATGGGAAAATCCTTGTAATTCTCTGCAGCAATGTAATACATGGAAAAATCCCTGTATTTCTCTGCAGCAGACCCCAGAGCTTGCCTTTCATGCAAGGACCCCTGAGCAGGAAAGAGCCCATGAAATTCCAGGCTCCCATAAGTGGCAGCAGGATTTATGTCATGCAATGGAGCTGTTGCCCCTCTGTCCCCAGCCAGCCCCATCACGCTGAGCTGTGGCAGGAGCTCTGGGCTTGAGCAGCCAACAAATACACAGCACGAGCATTCCCAGCACCCCAGCACAGGCAGAGAGGAGCTGCTGGTGAGGCACCTACCTGCTGCAAACCTCTTCTTGATGAGGGAGAAGCGGTACCCGGCGCCCACGAGCTCAATGTCGCAGCTGGACAGGGTGCTGCCCTCGCTGGTGAACTGCACGGCCAGCGGGGCCGGGCTGCTCGGCCCCTCCGACAGCTGGAACCGGGCCAGCAGAGACCCCACACCTGCAATGGAAGTGCCACACAAGACTCTTACGAGCCTGGAGAGGCACACACAGCACCCCAGCACTGGGTTTGTCAGCAAAGCTCTCTAATGGCTTAATATGTTTCTTATATTGGGCCCCACAACTTAAGAAAGATATGAAGCCATTAGAGACTGTCCAAAGGAGGACAGAGAAGATGAGGAAGGGCCTTGAAGGGAAGCCGTGTGAGGAGTGGCTGAGGGCACTTGGGCTGTTCAGCTGGAGAAGAGGAGACTGAGGGGAGACCTCATTGCAGTTACAACTTCCTGGGGATGGGAAGAGGAGGGGCAGGCACTGATCTCTGCTCTGTGGGGACCAGTAAAAGGGAATGGCCTGAAATTGTGTCAGGAAAGGTTTAAATTGGATCTTAGGAAAAGGTTTTTCCCCCAGAGAGTGGTTGGGAACTGAACAGGCTCCCCAGGGCAGTGGTCACAGCATCAAGGTTGCCAGAGCTCAAGGAGTGTTTGGATGATTCTCTGGGGCACTTGGTGAGACTCTTGGGGATGGGCCTGTGCAGGACTAAGGGCTGGAGTGGATGATCCTTGTGGATCCCTTTCAGCTCAGCATATTCTATGATTCTGTGAGATGCCCAAAGCGACACAAGCGAAGCCCAGTCTCATGGGGTCCCCAACCCTCCAGCATCCTCAGGGCAGGAGGAAAACCTCTCATCCTCCCAGCAGAATTTAGCTTTTCAGACACCCCAGGGATAAGGAGCAGCTGAGCATGTGGGTTACACATGGAGAAACCACCTGTGGGAGACTGTGGTCACCTCAACGGAGACACAACTTGAGCCTTCAGCCTTCAAATAGAGAAGGTCAAGGGACAAAGGACTTGGCAAAACATAACGTCCAAACCTGGTGTGTTAATACCCTCCTGTGATGCCAAGGCAGTTGGCAAAGCAGTGACACGTAGCCCTGCTTTTCTAAGCTCTGCTTTAAATAGCATTCTCCCCAGCAAGCCCCAGCAGGAATCCGTGTGTCTAGACTTGTGTGCCGGCATGATAAACGGGTCAGTGTCTGATTTAAGGATTCGGAGTTAATAACATGCATATTTTCAGGCTTACCTCCATTTTCTGACTTCTGAGAGATATCAGGAATCTTCCACAATATCCTTTGCTGTTCAGCATTCCTGAAAACAAATGAAGAAGAGTGTTTCTGTAGGAGACAAGAAATTGCCAAGGAGTCATTTGAATTTTGCTAAAGGCTGTGTGGGCTGGTGGTGGGGGCGAACTGCTCCGGTGCTGCTCTCTGGAGCTGCAGTTCTAGGAGCTTGGATTTGGGTTTTGCCGGGTGGGTTTGGCAGTGCTGGGTTAATGGCTGGACTCAATAGCGTTACACTGGTTTCCAACCAGTGTAATTCTATGATTGTATGAGCTGAGCAGGAAAATGCTGTCTTTGGGCAAGAGGCAGTGCTGTGCCCTGCTGGGAGCAACAGCCATGCATACCTCCATAGGATCACAGCATCTCAGACTGGGTTGGTTGGAAGGGACCTCAAAGCTCATCTCATTCCACCCCTGCCACGGGCAAGGACACCTTCCATGAGATCATTTTGCTCCAAGCCCTGTCCAACTTGGCCTTGGACGCTTCCAGGGATGGAGCAGCCACAGCTTCTCTGGGCAACCTGTGCCAGGGCCCCTATGGTGGTGATGGCCCTGCACCCCTCTGAGCCCCGGATAAAGCAGCCATAACACAAAATAAGGCCTGATGCTCTGCTGCCCACACACATGCATTCGTCTCTGACCATTTTCTTGTGGAATGGCAAGAAAAAAATCTGAGAGGGGTTGCAGCCTTCCTCCTGCAAGAGGAGGGAAGGTTTGGGTTCCTGATGTGCCCTCAGTTCCCACCCACAGACCCTCCTGAATCGAGCCTGCTTCTGCAGTTCTAGGCGGGGACACAGCAGAGAAAGGGAAGGAGCTCAATCCCTACCAGACAGCAGGAGGAAGCACAGCTTGAAGTTTGGTTACTCCTCCGTCGACGGGGACGAGGAACTGGACGTTGTTTAGAGCTACCGGTGTGGTCATTGCCTCTGTATTGTATTTGTAGTCAATGCGGAGGTCAGTGCTTGCAGGGTCACACCGCCAGCTCACTGCAAGGTTTAATGGAGTAGACTGAATACCCTGGGCAGATACCTTCCAAAATGACAGAAAAAACATTTAGTTTCCATAGGGGTGAAGGGAGAAGTCCCGTTTTACAGCCGCGCTCATCGCATTTGGTTTCAGAGGAGGCAATACCTTGTATTCCCTCCGAAACTCTGTACTGGGCTCCAAACCAGACAATCTAGTGCCACAAGAAGGGACTAAAGGGATAACATGCCCCCCCCCACATTAGCAACACTCTGCACTAGGGAAACCCCAGCTTTTACATCTATAATTCAGCACACTTTTTTTTTTGGCACAATTTTATCTTACAAAAAACCCCTACCTGGTATTTGAGCATATCCACATTGTAATAGGTGGCTTGCGGTTTCTGTTCCGATACCTTCTTTAGGTGAGTCATCAGATTTGGCATGTTGACCCAGAACTCCTTCGAGTTGGTGTCAGTCTGCACGCTGTCACTGCACAGAGAGAGAGAGTTAACCCTTTACAGAACCTGCCTTGGCAGGAGAAAACTGTTCTACAAAGCACATAGGACAGCAGCCACTAGCTGTGACTGCACTCAGTCCCACATCTATGGGAATATTGGCTGCCTCCCACACATCTCCAGCTTGTCCTCAGCTACCTCCAGGGAGGCACAGCAGATGTAACCCACAGGTCATCTCATTTTGCAACGAGGAGGTTTAATGAGCAGAGCAAAGGAAAAACAGAGCACTTGGCTCCTCACTGTTGGTGCTCTTCTACCTGGCATGGGGCTGCGCTCAGCAGGAGTGTTCTGGAAAATGAGGAGCTTGTGAGTTCAACACAGCCAAGTGCAGGTCCTGCACCTGGGGGGCAGGGGGTAATCCCAGCACAGGCTGGGTAGAGAATGGATTGGGAGTAGCCCTGAGGAGGAGGACTTGGGAGGGTTGGTGGATGAGAAGCTCAACATGCCCCAGCCAGAAACACCCAAGCCCTGGGCTGATCCCCCAGCATGGGCAGCAAGTGAAGGGGGCATTCTGCCCCTCTGCTCCACTCAGGTAAGACCCCACCTGCAGTGCTGCCTCCAGCTCAAGGGCTGCTAACATCAGAAGAAGAAAAGGCTCTGGGGAGACCTTAGAGCCCCTTCCAGTGCCTAAAGGGGCTCCAAGAGAGCTGGAGAGGGACTTGGGACAAGGGCCTGCAGGGATAGGACAAGGGGGAATGGCTTCCCACTGCCAGAGGTCAGGGTTAGATGGGATATCGGGAAGGAATTGTTGGCTGTGAGGGTGGTGAGGCCCTGGCACAGGTTGCCCACAGAAGCTGTGGCTGCCCCATCCCTGGAAATGTCCAAGGCTGGGTTGGACAGGACTTGGAGCAACCTGGGATAGTAGAAGGTGTCCCATGGCAAGGGGTGGAACAAGATGAGCTTTAAGGTCCAATCTGAACCATTCTGGGATTCTATGAAATATTTAAGGGGCTTGAGAGTTTCCTTCCCAAAATCAGGGCAGGCTTCCAAGGAAGACACCTCAGTCTGTGTGTTTTTGTGAGGTCCCCTAGTTTTCTGGAAACCCGCCTTCAATTGGGACGCTCGCAAGGTGGGTCCTTACCAGCAGAGGAGCTGGGGGTTTGGCAGGACGTGCTCCAGTCTGTTGTAGTTCAGCACACGGAAGGTTAGCACTGCCGGAGTGGGATTGTTGGCAAAGTGTCGGGTGATGCCCGCTGGAAACGACAGCACCATCTCCCCCGTGATCTTCACGATACACCTGCAGTGCCAGACACAGAGACTGAGGGGCAGGAAAGGGAGGCTCAAAATGGAGCAGGAGCACCATGGATGGGGTGGTGACAGCCCCCCACTTCCCACCCCAGGTTCTGTTCTCAGAGTGAGCAGAAGCAGCACAAAGGCTGACAGCCCACAAGGGACAATGGTCGTGGGACACCACAGGAGTGTCCTGATGCTGGACCCCCACCTGGTGCAGTGCAGTAACACCCCAACAAGCACATGCTAACCCGAGAGCACCTCCTGTCCTCCCTCCCCACACCTTGGGATGCACCCCAAGCCTGTCCCAACCCCAGAACCCCCATATCAACATCCAGACCCTGTCGGCCAGCACCTACTTGTTGGGGTCAGCCCCTTTGAAATATGCGTTGACTGTTTCTGTGAAGGCGGCAGCGACAGGCAGGGTGTCCTGTGCCCCCATGGTGAGGGGGCTGGGCCCCCGTGATGACCCTGCAACAGAGCAGACACCCCCACTTGGGACCCATAGAGACAAATGGCCCCGCTCCCCCCAGTGCAGGGCGAGGGAGTGCTCGCCAGGAACCCCAGCCTAACTTCATGGGCAAATAATAACAAAAAATCCCCCAGGCTTTGGATGAGGCTTTAAAAATGGTTTTAAATTACATTTCCCTCCCCCTCCAAAAGCAAGCAAAGAAAATGATGGAGGAGCCCCAGGCAGGAGCAGCATGCGGGGCCACGGCCCCCCTGGCGTGGGGGCTGCCACACGGCAGGCTTTGCATGACAGTTTTTGCAGTTGGTCTCTGGGCCCCAGAAAAAGGGGCTGGGGGGGTTCATTGTCTTGTCACTGGAGAGCTCAGGCTGCCCGTAGGAAAAGTGGGGTGTCAGCAGTCTCCCCCTCAGGCTGCCTGAACCCCAGCCTGTGGGGACTCCTGCAATCCCCTCTCCTCTCCTGCCCAGTGAACCAGAAGGAAGCCCCACTCCCTGCTCACCCCACAAACCCCACAGTACCCTACAGATAATCTGCAAATCGTCAGAAATCTGAAACCACAGAGGCACAGGTTGCCCAGTGCACCTGTGTCTGCCCCATCTCTGCAAATGTTCAAGGCCAGGTTGGACGGGGCTTGGAGCAACCTGGGCTAGTGGAAGGTGTCCCTGCCCATGGCAGGGGATGGAGCAAGATGGGCTTTGAGGTCCCTGACATCCAAACCATTCTAGGATTCCATGATTAAAATAAATGGGAAAAGTTTGCTTTGCTCATGCTGTGCATCCATGGACACCCGCCAGACTCTAAAATGATTAGCCCTGCAGGATCACTCTCAGATTTCCATTTGCTAGTCAGGAATTTTTGTCTCCAAAACAATTCAAGGATGAAATTTTCACTGCAAGTGCACCTCAGAAGTCCCAAGTGTGCTGGAAATCCCATGTGGGGGACAGCATCCTGCTCCCTGTGCCCACCACCAGGGGAGTCTTAGGTGCTTTTGGCACAGCAAAGTCATCATCTCTTCCCCATGGAAAGCATCCAAAGATCAGCCCAGGGTTAGTGTCAGGTCACCCACCCAATGTACAAGGTGCTAAACCCATGGCCACCCAAAATCCTGGAGATGTCACTCCCCTGCCCTGGCACTGCCGGCTCAGCTTCATCTATTTCCTGCAATGCACCGTTTTGGAACCTTTTTGTTTACATCACATGCTGTACATCAGGTTAAGCACAAGGATTATTCTACCTCAAATCAGGAATGGCAAAGGTCTCCAGAGAGGCACCTTACCCAGAGACCACAACACCCCTCACTCCGTCACCTTCATCGCCAGGGTCTGAGTCAGGCGGGTGAAAGGGGCGATGAATCCAGCCTGGAGTTTGTTTGGAACATGCAAGCACATGCCAGCTCCAGCCAAAGCTGCAGGAATTCCAATGCCAGCCCAGGAAAGGGCAGCACCTCCAAAGGCAGCAGGGCCAGGGGAAAGCAAAGCAAAATGTGGCATATTCCCGATGAGCTCCTGCTCTTCTGCTTGGGCTATCCTCCAAAATTATCCATCCCCTTCTTTATCTGCTGCTTCCCACCACTGCAAGTAAACAACAGGGTTTGGGTGCAGGAAACTGGGGTTCATAACATCTCCTGGGGAAAGCGCTTCCGTCATTTCAATCACACTTTGAGTTTCAATATATTAACTGAAAAAAATATTGTATTTGCCAACAAGGAGGATTCCTCACACCTTACCCAGGCACCCACGCATTAATGGATAAACTCCAAGTGCTCTCTCCTAGGGGCACAGATGAGCCCCTCTAGTGATGGGATTTTCCCTTCAAATCTGTAACGTAGCCTAAAAGGATGTAAAAAATTCATGTAGCCGTGTCTACCTCAGTCATGCATCTTAAGAGGCTCAGGGGATTAAGTGATTCCAGCTGCAGCCCAGAATGAGGATGATCAGGAAGGGTATCTGAGTGTCCCAGCACATGGGATGGGCAGCCAGAGCATCTCGTCCACACACAACAGACCCATCACCACACACACATTAATTATCCTAATGAGCCCAGTAGGGCAGCCTGTGGCTCCCCAAGCCTTCTGCTCCTGGGGCCACAGCCCAAGCTACCTATCAGGATGAACATCCTGCTGAAGAGTGGTCATACCAGTGCCAGCCATGTGTAAGAGCATGAGCAGCTCCCCAAACCCATGGGACACGCAGATTTCCTGGCTCTGTGACAGAGAGGACATGCAGGGGCAGCACCATGGACTACTGGGGTAACATATTTTAGATAAATTCTTTCCATAACACCACTGCTGGGTGATCCTTACTTCCCACACCCTCAGCAATGACCCCCAGCCAAACCCAGTGGGATAGTCTCATCACATCCACCCAGAAAAACAGATGGGATTCAAAAGCATCAATGCAGGCTGGTTACGGAGGGGGAAAACTGGAGGTGACACCTAGCAGAAGAGGATCAGGCTTGTCTCATAAGGAAGGCGAGAAGAAGGGCTTTAGCTGCCCACATGCAGTCCCTAGGAATAGAATCATTATTCCTCATGAGAGGACTAAAACCACCTCCTAATGGCAGCTGAGTCTAGCCTGAACCCTGCAGCAGAGCATGGAATGAGGGGCAGGTGTCTCTCACACCAACGTGCCTTTTCCCTGATTTCCCATCTCTTTTTCCCTTTGTTCCTCTGCACGTATATAAGATTCCTTTATTCTCCAGAACGAAAATTCATCTCTGCAGGGATAAATGGGTTGGCCTCATGGATCCCCATAACCAGGGTCAGCTGGGCTGTGGGAATCTGAGTTCACCTGAGCAACAACTGCAAGAAAACATCCTCATTTCTAATCCAGCTTTGAATAAAAACCATGTGAATGGAACTGAGGTTCTTGATTCCCTCCACTCTTCTTCATGAACCTGCATATTCTTCTTAATGGCTTCAGAGAACAAAATAACCTTTTACACTAAGGTTTTTACTAAAAAAGAAAATTATAATCTATTTTAAGCAATGGTATGATTTTCTAGAAACATGAGACAAGTCCAGTTACCATGGCACACGTCCACCCAAACCCTGGCTTTTCAATGACTGCTTCAAAAGTCATTTTTAGAAACTTTTCATTTGGACAAATGATGTGATACTAATGGAGAAAAAAAGTATCCATTTTATGGGGCTTTGAATCCAGCCATAAGCAGCGGACTAGGTTCATTTGCCTTATTTTTCCCTACACAAAAGTGGAAAATGCAGCTATGGAATGAGGAGACACAAGTGACAGCAATCCTGGCCAGAAGAGCATCACCAGATCTTTTCACACACGAATAAACTACCCCATGTTCAGCAAATACATGGATCTTGTCACAAAAACCCCTCAAAATCCAGAAACTATCATTTCCTTTTTGGCCTTCCACATCCTGAGAGTTTCAGATGCCAAACACAAAAGGTTTCCTCTCACTTTCCTACAGATGAGCATGGAAGTTCAGGGGGTTTTTTAAAGTTGGACATGGAGATTTAGAAATAAATCAGGAAATAGAGTGTGTGGAAGTAAGATAACTCCTTTCTGGAACGTGAGCTGATCCCGGGGACAGTGCCATACTCCTGCAGCCCCGCTGCTGTGCTGGCATTCCCAGGACAAACCCACTCCCTTCTCCACAACATTCACACTGCCAGAACGAAGTCAAATAATTCCAATAACTTAAATACTCAAAACCACAAGAAAACCCCCAAGAAGTGGATGTGCTTGCAGTGCTGCTGCTGGACTGAGCAAGGGGAGGAGAAAGCATAGAGCAGGGGAATGCGTGGTGCTGGACTACTTGTGCTGAGGGATAACGCTGTCCCTGCTCTCCTCAGCTCTTCCTGGGGCTCTGAACAGGCAGGTGGCACCTTGGAAACCCAGGAAGGGTTTTTTACTGGTAATAGCAAAACTGTAATGAGCATCAGGAAGAAGCAGCTCCCCCTGGAGCTAAGCTGGGAGCTGCTGTTGGAATGAGGACCATCAAAGCAGGGATTGCTGGAGCAGTGACCTTGGGCCAAGTAAAAGGGAGGAAAGGAAGGAAGCAAATCCCTGCTCTATACCACCTCAATCCCTGCCTTCTGCTGCTGCTACTCCATCACTCTCACCAGGATAGGCTTTGCTCCGTGATCCCAAGCAGTGCATCCTCAGTGGCCTGGCAGTGCCATCCCAGGCCACTTGGCATTTTTCTGGGATGGACATGCTTTGGGAATCACATGCAGAAACAATGATCTGACAAGTCTTGTGCCGGCAGCATCCTCCAGCTCACCCCAGCCCTGCCTGCAAGCACCACAACAGCTCCAAAGTGCTTTCTTGGTGACTAAAAGCACCTATCCCTCCTGTAAGCGAATGTCCTGCTTTTACCTCTGCTTCTAAAAAGCAAAATATTGCCTCAGTGCCTGTGAGATAAGGCTTCCCCCAAAGCCTCAGTGCTCTTGGAGTGGGACTGGCTGCCCAGCCACCCACAGCTCTGCCCTGCGTGGGATGTGAGGCTGCTTGGAGAACAAGCAACAAGTTTTTCCCCTCCCTGCATCCTTCTCATCCATGGGGGACCCCAGAACTACCAAGACCTCTAAGCAGCCACCCCAGCAGCACAACCTGCTGGTGTTTCAGCTCCCAACTCTTCACTGCCAAAAAATCTGGTGGGAGGTGGGGAGGAGGCCTTGGCTTGGCACAGAACCCATCATCCTTTGGGTGTTAATTAACAGCATGTGGCCCAGCCCACTCAGGGTAACGAGCAGCTTGTGAGGGAGAGTAGAGAGAAGCTCTGGTTGACAGAGTCAAGTTCCTCGGCAGTGCAAGTGGTTCCACTCTCTGGTGTTCACTGCAGCCTCCGCACGGGAATATTCAGAATGTTCTTTTGGGTCTTGCTTTGTTTGGGTTGGATTTTTTTAGAAAATAAATAAACGAGGAAAGAGATCACGGGGGACAAATGGCACAAATCAAATCAAAATTGTTCTGGTTGAACTTGCGACGTCATCTAAGTAGCCATAGCATTTCGCATGGAAAGCCGGACTGGATGGAGCCTTGGGAGGGAACCCCGGGAGTGAGAGAGCGAGAGCAGGGGGAGCGAGTCGTTACCGGGTATGCTATGCACTACTTACCTTCGAAAGTCAAATAAAACTTTCCTCTGTCAAACCAAACGAGGGAAGGCTGTTCATTCTCTGTATGGCCAGGAGTTGAAGCGGGAGGGGAAAGGTTAAGGAGAGGGAGAGAGAAGGACACAGTGTGAGTCACAGAGCAGGTCATTTATCTTGCTACGGGGAGGGGGCGAGGCGCTGCAAGCCGTTCACGTGCAGGGACAGGGGCTTTAAACTTGAGCGTTGGCTTGGGAGACAGAAAGCAGAAAGCAAAGCTATGGAAGCCCAGATGGAAGAGTCATTTTTCTTGGTAAGGAGTTTTGAGGGGTTTTCTCTTTTTTTTGGCTACAGTAGAAGAGGCTTGTCGGCTCATGCACTCCATCAGCATGTTCTAACTGGGCTGATCTGGGCAAACATGCCGTGTCCTCCTCGCCTTCAGTGTCATCTCCGCCAGCATTCCCGGTGGGATGCTGCTCCACATGCCACACCGGTGCACACAATCAGTGACAGTAAAATGGGGTGGTCTCTGTTGCATTTCAGGACGTTACACTTGCAGATAACCAGACACACGCACACAGAGCAGCAGCTGCCTAGCTGGAATCCTCCCTTTCCCATCAAAACCACCAGCTCCCTGCTCTCACACCGCCTTGAAAGCCACGCTAGACTCCAGGTACTGCTGGAATAACTCAGGGGGGACAAGAGGGGGTAAGAAACAGCTTTTGGAGCTGTTAAAACAAGCCTTTTGAATTCAGGAGGTGAAAACCTTCCACCTCAAAGTCCTTTTGGTCACTGAGAAACTGTCATGCAAGGTGCTGCGAGCGGTGGGTGCCGCCCGCTCTGAAGGCGGATTGTCTGGAAAGCTCCCTGCCAGTACAGTACCTGCCGGCGTTTCACTGCGCCTTTCAAACGCGGGCAGTTTGTCAATAAAAGCATCATCCTCTGATAACACAAGCAGAAGAAATGCAAAGGAAAGAAAAAAAACAAACACAAAGAATGAAAACACGGATCCCAACTGAAACCAAGCAGCGCGTTGTATCAACAGAGAGACAGAGAGGGGGTTTAACGAGAGAAATGAGGGAAGGGGCACTAACACGGGAGCAAAAGCTTCTTTCTTTGCCAGAAATTATTCAGACTGACATGCAACCACGGGAAAAGCACACCAGAGCAGAACAGAGGACACAGAAATGGAACAACCCTTCACATGCTCTTGGACAAACGCCATCAGATTTGCCAAAGGGAACAGGAGACGGGGAGAGTGTTGGAGACATACTCTGGAGCAAGCACAGGGCTGCAGGCAGCCCCAACTGGGTTGTGTTGTCCCAGTTCCCCAGAACCCACAGGGGTCCTCGACCTGCCCATCCCTGCGCACCTTCCACTTCAGCTTTTCCTCTTTCTGCAAACAAACCCAGGAATCAGAAGTGCTCCCTCCTGCACTATGGATTTTTATGGATGCTTATCCAGCACCAGTGCCCACCCTTGCCTTGGAGGGGACAAGGAGATGCTTGGACTTTCCCTGAATGGATCCCAAACCCCATCTGCTCCTGCCTGTCCCAAGCCAAATCCTAGCCACGTGGCATCTGCTGCTTGATTGTTGTTGGATATCAGGAAAAAGTTCTTCACCTGGAGGATGGCTGGGCATTGAAATAGGCTCCAAAGGACAGTGGCCACAGCACCAAGGCTGCCAGAACTCAAGAGGTGTTTGAAAAATACTATGAGGCACGTGATGGGAATGTTGGGGTGTCCTGTGCAGGGCCAGGAGTTGGACTTGATGATCCTGATTTGTCCCTTCCAACTCAGGATATTCCAGGATTCTACAATTTGTGTGGAGCTGGAAGTGCAACAGCTGCAATCTGCGATGCTCCTCCTGGCTGCCCTATTTGGAGTTCTCAAGTCATGGGGTGACCCCAGAACCCTGATTTCAGCTGTCTTGAAAGCAAAATCCCCCATGGAGAGAGTGGGAGATGCTAGTGCCACTGGGTACAGCTTCTCACCCCTCCAGCAGTATCATCCCCACTGCTCAGCGTGGGTAGGTCATTAAAAACATCAAGCAGCAGTTTTTGTTCATAAAAACATATGTGTTATAGAGAAAAAAATAAATTTAAATGAGAGCCTGAGGGACCTGCTCAGCTGGCAGGACCAGCATGCATCCCCCACACACGTCCCCTTTCCCATCCTCCTGCAGCCCCCACAACCATCCCTGTCCTCAGCCTGGCTGGTCCCCCCACAAAAACTGTGGTCCCAGGTGCCCCCTGGCCACTGTGCCAGCAGGCACTGCCAATCCCACTGTCACTGTGGGGGACAGCAGGCATGAACAGGACCAACACACTGGGAATGCTCAGGGCTGGCTGCCCCTTTCTCCAGGTGTTTTGTTTTCCAGCAACACTCTGTGACAGTGACCAACAGCCGGCGAACAGGTACAGCACCTACGACACCTCGAGAGTGAAGCAAACAACAGGATGGAGACGCAGGTCAGAGACTCCAGCAAACCCACAGGGAGGGCTCGGTGCCACCAGCACCAGGGGGACAGCGCCTGGCACACAGCCCAGGACACCCAGCACCTTCCAGCCATCACATGTGGTGATGCCACCACTCGTGAGGTGACAGCCGGTGACAATCGCCGCAGCCAGGCCAGTGGCTGAGCACACACCAACCAGCCAGGATGGGTTTTTGGAGGATTGGAAAGAAAAGAAGAAGGAGGAAGGAGATCCTGGAGAAAAAGGAGATGCAGGAAGCGAGGGACAGTAGGGCTGGCAGCCAGGTGGGATGGAAAGGATGGCAGAGGACAGAGTGCCAGCAGCTGGGATGGAGGGGAGGAGTGGGACAGAGGGGATGGAGAAGGGAGGCACAGGGGCACCCAGCACCTGGAGCGTGGGAGCTGCCAGCCTTTATTCTCATTGCTTGTCTCAGGCATCTGGGGGTTTGGCAAACCCCATGTTTTTCAGGCCATTCCTCCAAAAGAAAACTGCAGCACTTTGTTGTGCCTTAGGATGTGCCAACCTAATGGTTTGGAAGAACCTTTTCTAAGACCCCATTTCCCACTACCACTTTAGAGAAAAGTGCAAAATTAAGACATTCAAAAAGATTTAAAATTGTCTCCTGGACCCCAAGGTCTGGCTTCCAGCCCCCCTCCCCTCCAGGCACAAGCATCCCCTGCAAAAAAAAAAAAGCTTATTTTGCCCAAATTTACAGACCACAATCACATTTTATGATATATTTCCCTTGGTGATACCTTTGACTTTCACTAAACATCCATTTTCCACAGCATTTGGAGTTGCCCCAAAGCTTCCCTAACAACATCACCCTCCTGACACATCACGCCCCCTCAAATCCCATTTTGCACTTAAAAAATCTGATGAAAACTAATGAATATAAACCCAAAGAACAATCTAGCAGATAAAAAAGCTTCAAGAACCATTTAAGGATGTTTAGAGGTATGAAAGGTGAAAGAACAGCAGAGCTGTATGTTTTTACCAACGGTGGGAGTGGTGGCTGCACTCAGGGAATTGGTGGAAGATATGGAAGAAGTACTTTCAGCACGGGCTAAAGGTGCTATCGGAGGAGGGCTGGATGAGTGGATAGGAGGGCTAAAAGGCCTGGACTGTAGAAAAACATAAAATAACACAAGGTTAAAGAAAACACAGACACATTTGCATCAAACAAACAAGCTTTTCCCTGAAGCTGTAACCCTCAGGAACTCCAGCCAGCTGCTCTACTGGCATCCCAGAGAAGTAAAGGGAATTACTTTAGCTCTTTTAGTGCTAATAGCATTTCATTCTGGACCTGGAAAAATGGGAGGTGATTCCCACCATCACGTGGGTCTGGGTGTTTGAAGTTCCCATCCGTTCTGAGGATGGGAGCTCCAGAGGCCGTGGGAGGGATGGAATGCACTTAGCACTGGGAAGGGAGCAGTGCCCATCATGCGCTAGCTCACCAGGGAGCAGCTTATTAGGTCCTTATGGGTCCTTTAGGGATGATTTTTTATCCAAATCATGAATCCAAAGACTCTCCCAACCTACCTGAAGCAGCCTGGAGTGGCAGGACAAAATGTTGCAGCTCAGCTGGTGTGGTGGTGAACACCCCACCAAAGATTGCTGCATCCCCCGAGCCAGCCACCATTCTCAAGACAGAGGGATCCACTCTGCTTTACCCCCAACCCCTTCTCACTCCTGCCCCAGCCCGTTCTCTGCCTTTGCCATGACTGCAGACCATGGTTTTCCTGCGCTTGGCATTACCAGGCTGGATTACCTGATAACCAGGTGCATGATAACCAGGTATGTAATATGGATAACCAGAGGCAGTTACAGCCCTTCCCAGGTGGAATTTACCCCAGTGGACAAATCCTAGAAAACCCCGACCCGCCCTGGCAGCCCCCACTGGTCACTTGCTCCATTATATTCCATGTTAGGATTGGGAATGCCACCCAACACCCCCCTCTCCCTCCCAACGTACCACGTCAGCGACAGGGGGTTTGCCAGGGGGCAGCTTGGGCCGGGAGGGAGGCCGGGGGGGTGGTGGCGGAGGGGTGCCACAGGTGGCCAGCGGCGTTCCAGGGCGAGCTGGCGATGAGGAACCTGCAACAAATGGGAGCTGTGAGCACCACACAGGCAACGCCCCCCCAGCACTGCCCACCCCAAATCCCCCACCCACCCAGGGGTGCACACGCACACCCCACACAGCTCCCCATGGCCACAGCCCCACACCAGCAGCTTTCCAGGGCACAGAGCATTCCAGGATTGCTGATGCTGATGAATTCCTCACAGGGGCTGCCCAGTATCCTGCTCCCTCAGCCAGGGAACGTTGGGCAAAGTTGTTATCAGAGGATACATGGCTTTCCCAAAAAACAGATGTAGGCAGGAGGACTATGGTGCTGAAGCCCTGCAGCTGGTGGTGGTGCCACAGCTCTGGGGCTGGCACAACTGGTGAACAGGGTGGGTGTTAGGGGCAAACCTTTGTCCCAGCAAAGAAGGGAGAGAGCAGAACAGGAAGGTTATAAGTTTTGCTGGGAGTGTAACATCTCCCAACCCTCTGGAAGAGTCTCGCAGAACAAGAGGTGATGATCTCAGGGTTCACGTAGTCCCCAGCGGTTGCTGTCCTGCTGTGAAGGAGAAGTTTTGTAATCAGGTGGAAATTTATGACCAATGCTTCACAGAATATCCAGGAGACTGTTTTGCTCCATGCAGAGAAATTCCTTCCAGAAGAAGTTCAGCAATAACTGGTGCTGTACAGAGCAGTCAGAGACGGCACCATGACATGAGGGGCAGAAGAAGTGGGAGGAAATTCAGATCCCATTCCCAAGACAACTAGCATGGCCTTTGCCCCTAGTCTTCGTGGAGTTCAGTAGCTCCATGCTTGGCTCAAACTGATGATAAGACGAGGCCTTTGGCCTTATTTTTCCAACTTACAAGAGAATAATTTCCTAAGTTTTTGGGTGATAGTTCAGATTAAGGAAAGACCAAAGCTAGATCCATAGAAATGAGACTAGGATGTAAAGGAGAGCAGGCTAAGCCAAGAGAGGGGCTTGTTTAAAGGGAGTAAATTTCACTCATCCCTTGGTTCAACTCCAAAATACAAGCCATTTTTAATTAAAAGCCTAATTTGGGAACCAGTCTGAATTTTTCCTTACTCATCCCAATAAAAGCCTGACAAAATAGGAATTATTCACAGGGAGCAGTTTTGCAGCACTGAATGAGTGTGGCAGAGGGAGTGTTCTGTGACCACCAGGTAGCCTAAGCCCTGCCAGACATTGGCTTCCATCCCAGAATAGATATTTCCTGCCACAAGAAATTGTGGCAGTGTGTGGAAATAAGCATGAGATCAGAAGCCTGCTGGGATGCTAGGGTTAGAGCAACCTGATCAAGTGGAATGTGTCCCTTGGCAAGGGGCTGGAAGGAGATGAGCTTTGAGATCCCAACCAACCCAAACCGTTCCATGATGACTCTGCACCCATCCCCAGCCCTGGCTCAGCGACACCCACATGGTATGTGAAGGCAGAAGGGCATCCTGGGATGGCTCTGCTCCACAGCATCCCAAAATTGGACAGGACCAGGACCAAATGCAGCACCAGGAGCCTTGGAAAGGTGGAGAGGAGTGTGAGAAATGCTGGATCCAGCTGCCAGACGATGCAGCTTTTGGAACATTTGCACAGCTTCTCTGTGAGTATGTTAACACTTCGCATTTTCCAGCTTGCTGCACTGGGGAAGGCTGAGGTGGCAGTGGAATGCAAAGCAGTCCAGACTGAGACAGAAGCCAATTCCTGAAGAAGAGACGTAGATCTTCTTGGAGAGATAGTTCCTCCATTCATCCATCCCTACATGAGGAGCCCTGGCACGTCACCATCCTGTGACTCTTCGCTCCCACAAGGCAGCTACTCAGTTGGCATGAGGTTGGAGAGCATAGAGGAAGAATGTTGCTGTTTTCTGCTGCCAAACTCCAGAAGTTCCAGCTCCAACCACTGCCACTAGCAGCCCCCACATGGACCCCCACCCTCCCAGCACAGAAAAGCCACCACCACTGAAGCAAAGCCACACTTGCAGCACCATTCTCACACAGGGGACACCCCCAGCAGTCCCTCCACACCCCTTCCATGAAGGTGACAACCCCACAGAGGAATGACATGGCTTTCAAGCTCCCATGAGGTTGGTGGCATATGTTGAGGCACAGGTCTGGGGGCTGCACACCCAACACACCCCTCACCTAAGTGGAGGTTCCTCAGAGCTCTGAGAGGGTAATTCCCTTAAGAATAACTTCTGATGGATGCAGCATGGCAGCACAGGTGTCCCATAAGTGCCCTTGGGGGTCAGCCCCTAAAATAACAGGCTCAGGTTGCACCCCCTCAAGCACCCTGGGGAAGTATGTGTAAGCTGACCTCCACCAAGCTCCTTTGCCCCTAATGGGCACAGACATTTATAATTAATAATATTAATTTATAATTAAGTAGGCAGCCAGCACATGCCAGACAGAGCAGTCAGGTTCTGCCCTAGGAGAGGCGCACCCTGGAACACATTTCTCCTGGCTCTCCATACTCAGAGCCAAAAAGGACTAGGCACTGTCCAGACCTGTGCTACCTCTGAGCTGGGTGGGTGACAGTGCGTGGTGATCTGTCTCCAACAGATTTAAAGGACCCTGGAGCTGAGGCTTGCTCAGATTATTTGCCTGAAATGTTTTTTACTCAAACCTACTGAGGAGAGAGCTGCAGCAACGGCAACTCCATTCAAAATTCCGTGCATGGCAGAGGTGGGAAGGGTGGCTCTGGGGAGCTTTGGGGAAAGACCATCAGCCCCATCCCACCACGAGACACGCAGCGAGGAGCAGGGGGAGGACACAGGAGGCGGAGGGCAGACGATGGACGTGGAGGCACGACACGGGCCCGGGCACAGGCACAGCCAGGCGGGAGGGGACGGCGGAGGCCTCAGGGCCCCCCCGAAGCACAGCCACGGCCGCGGGACGTACCGCTGGTGCTGCCCGCGCTGGCGCCCGGTCCGGGGGACGAGACCACCGTGCGGTAGGTGGGCGGCGGAGGGGGCGGCGGGGTCGCTCTCTGTCCCGGCCCAAAATCTTTGGGAGAGGCCACCGGCTCCACGTTCTCATCCTTCAGGTGCTCAGAAACCTTCTTGTGAACCTCTTCCAGGTGCAGCGGGGAGGGCAGCGGGCGGGAGGGCTCTGCCGCGGGAGCATTGGCTGGAGCGGCCGCTGCCGCCGGCGGGGATCCCGCTTTTTCCCGGGGAGTCAACTCCGGAGCCGCGTTTTCCGGGGATTGATCAGAAAAATTGACCCACTTGTCTTCTGCGTTTGCAGCAGCAGATTTGGGGGACGGCACGGGGCCAAAAATGCTGTCCAAGTCATTGATGGACGGGAGTTTGTCCCTTTTGGGCTCTGCTGCTGCCTGGTCCCCTCCTGTGGTCAGAGGAGGTTATTTTACACTTGGCATTAAGCGAGGGCTGCACTACTTGCTACGGGCTCTATGCCAGCTACTTCTAGAGAAGATACTCTAAAAACATGGTTTCTTATAAGCAGCTGGGGAATATAATTCATGTGCAACAAAGTTCTACATCAGGTCATATGCAACATATAATGAACCACACTGGGTCAAAAGGCTGGATGAGTAAACATGCACCATGAGCCAAGCCCTGCTCCTCCATCACTCAGATCCAACAGTACCTTATCGTCCCAAAAGTTGCAGCCTTTACATGTCCTCTAAATGACAACACATCCTTACCATCACTCTGGATTATCAGCAGATATTAAACTTACGCACTCAGCGCTCTGGCACACCCCACTCTCTATATATATTTATAAACACACACGTATAAATATATATACTTGAACATGCTGGTTTGCAGCACGGGATGCAGACAGGGTGAATGTATTTCAGTCACAAGCAGCAGCAGATCAGGGGATTTCAGGGCTCTGCTCACTAACTGAGCCACCACACACCAGCATTCCCGTCTGACTCCATAACCAACACAGACACAATCCATCAGCCAAGCTTTACATATCCAGGGAAGGGAGATCCTAAAACTAATGTGCCCTCTGGGCCCTTGTGTCAGCATCACCCCACCTCTACTCCCATGTTTGGGGGAGCCATCTGCTGTTCTACATTTGGGATAAAATAGAGTTTTGCTCAAACAGACAAAGCAGACTTCAGCCTCTTGCTTTATATGATGCACAAGGCAGAGCCCAGCAAATGGTCCAGCACATGTGGCTGGGCTTGACATTTGCTCCTGTGATGAATCAGTGTATGGAGGTGGACACTGCCAGCCTGGCAGCTCCAATAAATAGGAAAAAAAAAATCAAGATATGGGAGCATGAATGAGATGTTGATGGATTGAGCAGAGAGGTCAGAGCAGGGGATTTCTTCATGGCAAGGAAATTTCATCCCAAGGTGCTTTGTCTGTCCCCATGCAGTGCCCTTTCCAAAGGCCAGACATTGTATCCCCTCCTCAAATCCTGCTACTCCATCAGACAGCACCCTGCCAGCACCATGAATTATATACTTAAAAGCATTTTATGTTCTCTGGTTGCATCCAACCCCTTTCCATCCCTGCCATCAGGTTGTCCTTCATTCCCAGCACCATTCCATTCTCTCTTCTTTATCCCAGGCTGTGAGACCAGAGGGGACTTTTCCCACCTTCCCTGACAGCGGTAGGAATTTGGGGGACAGGGAGTGCAGGAGCAGCTCTCTGACACAGGCAGACACTGCTGTGTTATTCCACAAACACAGACCATTCAGGACTGCTCCAGGCAGGAACAGGGTTCTGTGTATTCCCAGTTTTGAGTAGGGTATTAAGGTTAATGCTGCATTGCATTTCCAGCATGACTGATCCCGAAGTCAGGGAGGGTGGAGAAAACATTAATTTCACCAGGATGACACAAACTTAGGGGCCAAAGGCATCTTTGTGCTGCTTCTACAGCATCACCCCAACAGCAGCATCCACAAAGCTGAGGCTGTCCCATCACTGGAAGTGTTCAAGGCCAGGTTGGATGGGGCTTGGAACAACTTGCTCTAGTGGAAGGTGTCCCTGCCCATGGCAGGGGCTGGAACAAGATGAACTTTAAGGTCCCTTCCAACCTGAATCAGTCTGGAATTCTTCAAATGCAAAGGGAAGAGGGTGCACGAGGACCAAATCTGTGTCCAAAACACAGCCACGGGGAACCACCCCCCACCCAGTGCCACCCCTGGAGGCTCTGGATCAGTCTCCCAGGACTGTGCCGTGGCACACACTGAGCTTTACCTATTCCCACAGGCAGGGGGGAGCCGGTGCGCGGCGGCGTGGCTGGAACGTTCTTCGGTGGGAGTGGTGGAGGAGCTGCAAGAGAGCAGAGAGGGGAATAAATTCAGTTACAGTGTCTTAGAAAACACAGGTTTACTGGGAACAGGGGCTATGACAGCGATGAGGTTGCTCCAAGCCCCATCCAGCCAAGCCTTGGACACTTCCAGGGATGGGGCAGCCACAGCTTCTCTGGACAACCCGTGCCAGGGCCTCTCCACCCTCACAGGGAACAATATCTTCCCAATATCCCACCTATCTCTGCCCTCTGTCAATGTAATGCCATTTTTACTAGGGTTTATGTATTTTTTTCCTCCCATTTTTACTTCTCAGACTGTACTCACACGTTTTTAAATCCCTGAATTACCATTTTAATTAAACCTGTAGCCTCTACGGGACAGATCTGCCTCCATGTTTCTCATGTGTCTATCCCACATGGAGCCAGGATGCACAAAGGGGAGCGGGAGAACTGTGGCTAATTAGCAGTGGCTAATTAACCAGCCTCACTTTACAGAGGCATTTTTGCCAAGCAGATGCAAATCAGATCCAAGGCCAAGCCTCCTGGAGCAGCAGCCCAGGAGCTACTGTGGTTTCCATCGTTAGTGTCCCAGTCCCCTTGGAAGGTGGAGATGTGCCCAGAGGTTGCCTTGACCTTGGCACATCAGCACCAGGGCCAGGGGTGAGTTTGGCATGAAATCCATTGGGCTCATGGCTGGTGAGGGGGAAGTGGAGTAGGAAAAGGAGGAAAGAATGACTTTGCAGCTTGGGAGGAGGAAAAGCTGCAGTTCCCCAGCTGCCTCAGGCAATGGGAAAACCGGCAGTAAAAATCAGGGATTTGGGGTTGTGCTGATCTTCCATATGTTGTCCCAGAGAAAATAAAAACAACAAATGGTGTTTCCAGCCTTTCCAGTCAAATCATTAACATGCACAGTCTGGTATTCCTGGCCTCCGAAGGCAGTGTGGTTTTTACCACAGGTCCCAAGCAGGACATTTGCCCTGGCTGGAGAGGTTTCACCTTGGAAATCCAGCTCTCATGGTAGAGGCACATGTCCCAAGGCAGGATGTGTATAACCTCTCCCAGCCTGAGTACCATCCATCCTTCTTTCCCACCCCTAATACCATCTATCCCATCCCTCACCCAATCCCATTCCTTCTGCCACCCTATAGTACTGCAACTCAAGTCAAGTCAGGGGAAAAAAAACACCTCAAACATAAAATGTTATAGAATTGCACAGTCTGGATGAGGAAAAGTCAAATATTTGTCCTGATTTCTGTATGTATTATTTTTTTGATTGATAATCTGCACAGTCACTTACTTCCAGTTGGAAAAGGTCTCGGAAGTTTTGGGGACTCTACATTTGTGTTGATGGGCTGGACTGAACCCCAGATCTCAGGCTGATCTAGAGCAGCTGAAAAATCAAAAATAAATAAATAAGTAAACCTTTTAAAGCAATGAGAAAACCAACCATCTTCTTCTAAACATCAAAACACCTTCAATCTGAGGCTTGGGAAAAGAGGAACCAAACAGTGACACAAACCTCTCATTAATTAAAGACAGGGGGTTCTATAACAGTGGATAATTAAAAGCTTGCCTGATTTTGAAACAGGACAAGCAATTAGTTTGACACTCATGCTGCTTGACAAACAAAACAATGCCATTGATGGATTTGGAGGCTTATTACATGAAGGAAAACACTGTATTAATTGCAAAAATTGTCTGGAATTTTAGGATATGCAAAAAAAACCCACCAGGTATTAAAATGAAAAGATACAAATATATTCACAGAAGTTGTAGGGAAAAAATTTTCAATGTAGTTTACATTTATTGCACTTTTTGGGGGGCTGTGTGCAGACAACTGCAAGCAAACATAGGTTTGATTAAAAGAATTAACTGGAGTTGTTAATGACAAGACATAACGAGGCTACAAGGGCAGTGGCCATTCCCTGAGAGCGGAGTCTGCTGGCTCTGGGAGAAGGAGGAGGTGACTTCTCTGGGAACAAGCTGCTCCAGAGGGTGAATGGGGTTGTTCTTTGAGGAAAACAAGCCTTGCAAGATCACTGCACTTGGGGAAAGCTGGGAAAAATCAGGCCTGAGGAGGAGCAAAGCGCCTCTATGACAAGCAAACACTGGTTTTGGTGAAAAAATGACATTGAGATGGCAACTTCCTGGGAACGGAGGCATTGTCCAATAGCTCCACGCAGCATCCTGCTCTTTCACTGAAGGCAGATTTGAGGTGTTGGGGTGGTAATAAACTCCCCCCACTTTGGGGAGCATCGAAGGGCTCAGTATAACCATAGTTTGATTTGAGAGTCAATAGTTTTGATATTCATTAGCTGTTCCTTGTCAGGATCTGTCCCAGACCACGTAATTAACTAATTGACTTAAACACTTGCTCTGTTTCCATCTAACCCTCTTTAATCCCAGGCTGGGAACTCTGTCACCTGCCCTTCGCCCTCCACTTCAGCTTTGTCTTTTTCCTTCTGTAAGAGGGTTAGGAACCTGATCAGGGAATTGCTTAGGTTGGAAAAGCTCTCTAAGAACATCAAGACCAACCCAGCATGTTACCAAGTGCCAAATCCACATGGCTTTTAAATCCCTCCAGGATGGGGTCTCCACCACTGCCCTAGGGCAGTGGAGCACCAGCTGTGCCAGGGCTGGGCAACCCTTTCCATCAAGAAATTTTCCCTCAGTATCAAACCTAAACCTCCTTGGGCACAACTTGAGATTATTTCCCCTTGTCCTATCACTGCCCTGCTTGCTGGCAGAGTTGGATGCTGCCAGCTGTCCCCAGGTCACTACCAGGAGAAGCCACCCATGTCCCCAACCCACCATCCAGCTTCTGCTCCTCGAACGCTGACTCCAAGGGGGGCCCGAAGAGCGGAGCCAGTGCAGCAGGATCCTCCCCAGTTTTCTTGCTGCAGGATTAGACAAGCAGAGAGGAACCATGAGGATCAGGTTTGTGCTCAAACCCAGCATGTGAAGCAAATACAAATATTTTCAGGGAGTGTTTATGTTTCAGACTAACAAGGACGTGGGCAAATAGGGGTTTGGGCAGTGAAAAGGGAAGGAGAGTGGTAGCACTGGCTATAGCACTGTTGTGCCAACACTGCAGTGCCACAGTAGCTGCTGGGACAGTTCAAGTTGGTTGGTTCAATTTTAGTCAAAACTGTGTGGGAAATGATTAATAAAAATAGTCAAAGTCTGGACCACACTCTGGTCCAACACACCTTGAGTCAAGCTCTGCAGCTACCTGGGGCACATTCCCAGGGACACTTGGCTTTACTCCATATAAACTTGTGTGTTTGCTTTTCTAAACCAATATATCCCCCCAGCATAACGTTTGCCAGCTCTCCCTATTGATCAGGCTCAAGGTGGCTTCCAGGAGTGGATGTCCTTGCTGTTCTTGTGGGAATACAAGGATGGATACTGTGCATCTGAAACTGGGGGTGCCACTACCATCACAGCCCTCTCCATCCTGCCAGAATCACAGGCTGGTTTGGGTTGGGAGGGACCTTCAAGCCCATCCCATTCCACCATCTGCCATGGGCAGGGACACCTTCCACTGTCCCATGTTGTTCCAAGTCCCATCCAACCTGCTTTGGACACTTCTAGGGGTGGGGCAGCCACGGCTGCTCTAGGCAGCCTGTGCCAGGGCCTCACCACCCTCATAGGGAACATTTCCTTCCCAGTATCCCATCTAACCCTGTCCTCTGGCAGTGGGAAGCCATTCCCCCTTGTCCTGTCATTCCTTGTCTAAGTCCCTCTCCGGCTCTCCTGGAGCCCCTTTAGGCACTGGAAGGGGCTTTAAGGTCTCTCTGGAGCCTTCCCTTCTCCAGAATCCAACAAAGAGCTCATGGACCCAAATCTTCCTCTGCATCCCGCATTTTCTCAGCATATTTAAAGCCAAACACAGATGCTCAGCTGTCTCAGGAGCCTAAAAGGTTATAAAAGTGGTGTTTCTGCAATGGTGCCTTTGATGAGCCAAACTGGAGCAGCTCAGCTCACTGATGGGTTGGCAATAGTTGTAGGGTAACAAATACCCAGTGAATTTGCTCTTTATTCTGGGTTTGCCCTATCCTGATGTAGAGGATAAAGGATCAAAACCTGGAGGAGAACACATTGAGCCCAGTGTAAACGTCCACTTGCCTATGGAATGCTCAAAACCCACACTGGAATGATGTGCCTGGATGTGGATTTGTCGGACAATCCCACTGATGGGTTCTGTACTGACCTGGCAGGGTCTGGTGTTGGTGTGGAGCGCCGGGGCCGTGTGATCTCCTCACCTGTGGCACAGGACAGACAGCACAGGGTGAGAATCATTCCCTGCCCACTCCTCCCAGACCCTGTGCTGGCAGGAGGGCTCACATCCAGTGTGCCACCAGCACGGCACACATCCCACCCCAGCAAAGAACCTGCTTTTAAATTTAGATTTATTTCTGTAGAGCACTAAACTAGGGAGCTGCACTGCTATAGCACTCTATACTCCCTAGAGTACACTCTAGGTACCCCAAGAATGTCCCACATGGCATTTTAAGGAAAACTTTGGGTGCCATCATTTCTGCCAGGACCACTTTAAAGCAAACCTTCCCACACCCTTCCCGCCACCCCCTCCACTCTCCAAAATGCCTCCACCACCCGCACTGACTGTTTTTCCAGGCTGCAGAAGATACTTACTGGATAAATTCCTTTTAATTGTCCCCTGGAAACAGAAACACAGAGGTAAGTGGGATGCACAGGGACATGGGCACATGCCAATTGTCACCCCAGGAGCAAAACAGCCCAGCAGATGTGGCAGGAATTGTCTGAAGTGACATTTACTGTATGTGGCTGAAATACAGAGAGCAGACAACCCTGCCAGGAGGTTTCTGAGCCACAGGAATCCATCACTGGCAGCTCTGCCCTTGAAGACATCCCAGCTGCCAGTGCCTTGGGGGGGTCACTTACACCCTCACCCCATTAATAATGGAAAAAAACCCAAATCCTCATGTTTGATGGCTGCAAATCAGTCTAACAATGTATTTTAGTAATTTAAATCCTTGCTCTTGCTACATCACACACACCTCCCCACACACAATAATGTAGGTTAGAAAAGCCATGTAACGTTGAATCCAACCATGTCTCAGCACTGCCAAGGGCACCACTGACCCATGTCCCCAAATGCCACATCCACATGTCTTTTAAATCCCTTCAGGGATGGGGACTCCAGCACTGGCCTTGGGAAGTTTGTTCCAAAGTCAAATCCACCCCCAGTCAGAGGAACTGGAGCTGTGCAGCAAAGAGGGGAGCAGGAGCCCCACCAGAGAGGGTCACTGGGGACATCCCAGGACCACAAGCAGGATCTCCAGGGGATTGCAAGGATACAGGTTGAGCCTTGGAGATCACCTATCACTGAGGGCCCAGTTGCGTTATCAACAGGAGACAATCCCCTCGATCCCACCATCACCTGGGGTCACACAAAAGGGTGGCTAATGGCAGTGGCACCCAGTCTCCATTCCCTATGCCCACCAAGCACTGACTCAGCCCCCTGCAGCACTCCCATTCCCAGGAGAGGAGGAAGGGGAAAGGATTGGGTCCTTACCGGGCTGCGCCGCTGCGGTCAGCGAGAAGGAAGAGAGAAGAGACACCTGGTCAGAGAGTGACAGGTCAGCACCCCAAGTCCCCCAGAGCCCATCATACCCCCCTGTCACTGCTGCACCAGATGGGCTTCTCCTCCACACAGCCCCCACCACTAGAGCACAACACCTTGTGGGTCACCCGGTCACCCAGCGGTAAGCCAAACCCCAGAAATTGGGTGAGTTTTCCATTTTGGGCTTGGAACACTTGGCAGCTCAGTCCTCTTGGGGAAACCAACCCCTCTGCTCACAGGAATCACAGAGGGGATGGATCACAGATGGGTTTTCTGCCTTCTCATACCTTTGGATGTGCCACAGTCCACAGATAAAACAGTGCACTTACACATCTTGTCCAAACACCTTACACCCAAACTACACCCCAGACTGGACACTCAAAGTAAAGACAGCTTAGCTCTGTTTTTAAATGCTCTATTTTTAAATGCTCTAAGTCAAAAATAGAGGAAATTAAATATCATTCTAGAAGGGCAGGATTTGTTATTTGCATTTTCCATTTCAGCTCTAGAGATGTACAGAACAGGGACCGTGTGACGAGAGGACACAAAGGTGCGTTAAAATATTAGAGAGATAAAAATTGTGTTTCTTACCGGACTTTTCCTCTAAAAGAATGCAGAAAGAGAAAAAAAAAAAGAATGAGAATATAAGATATTGTCTTAAAAGGGTAACAGAGAAATTAAAGATTTGTATTATGACCAAAGCATCAGGTTAAAGACATAGCAAAGCAGAGGGTTGCGAGTGCACCAGCCAGGTTGTCACCCATCCAGCTGGGAGACTGGAGGGAAGGAGAGCGTATGGAAATATAAAATTTTTGTCTGAGCCATCTTATGGAAGCAATTCACTTGTTTTATCATTAACAGGCCCCACTAGCCATAGGCAACAGCCATTCCCAGCCTGCTTCATTCCTTGGAAGGGTCTGTGAGAGAGAAAAGTCAAAGGGGCAGAAAAGGTGAGTTTAAGTGCTTAAATTTAAGGCTGTTACTCATCATCTTAACCCAGTAATTGTTTTTCCCACAAAGTCCCTGTTCCTAGGGATGAGTTTTCATGGAGCCAAGAGCAAAGCCAGCAGGAGCAGAGATGCAGGTGGGAGGTCTGCAGCATCTGGGCTGTGCTGGTGGGGCACATGGCACAAGCTGGTTATGCCACCACGACCTGTGGTTTGCACCAGAAATGGACCTTGAGCTGTTGGGCTTCAGACAGAGAAGGCAGCTGACACCAGTTTACACCAGTATCTCCAGTTCTCCTCTTGTTTCTAAGTTTTAAGGCACAAGAACTCACACCCCAAAGGGGTGGGGAGGACAGTGACTATGGACACAGGTTGCCCAGAGAAGCTGTGGCTGCCCCATCCCTGGTGGTGACCAAGGCCAGACTGGATGGGGCTTGGAGCAACCTGGGATAGTGAAAGATGTCCCTGCCCATGGCAGGGGTTTGGAATGAGATGAGTTTTAAGGTTCCTTCCAACCCAACCAGTCTGGGTTTCCATAGTTTACCACCCTACTGCTCTCTTCCAGAGAGATGCAGTGCCAGAGCAGGGCTTTGCAGCTAGTTTTGGAGAGAAGACAAGCCCAGGACAAGGACCTGGCAGCCAAGTATGGAACTCCTGTGGATGCAAAACTCCTTCAGCCAGCTCCTGCCTGGGGCACTGGTGCTTTCCTGGGCAGTGAGGGCAGTGCTGTGTGCCAGGATCCTGCCAGGATCCGGAGAGTGGGAGCGCCCGGCAGCGACACCGCTCACTCCCCATCTGCACACCTTGGCTCCCTACACCGGATTTTGGATCCCCACATGGACGAACAGCGTGGATCCTTCTGTCCAGCCTGGCACAGGGCTTTTCCCTGAGCACGTCTGCAGTGCTTGTAAGTGAAGAACCTGCTCCAGCTCCAGGCTGAGCTCTGCCAGGGACAGGGATTATCCTAAGGAACAACACCCAAAGCCTTCGGACCACATCACATAGGCATCCTCCTTTCCAGGGGCTAAACCCTTCCTAAATTAGGGCAAACCTCCCAACCTCAGCAGGAAAAACACCATGGAAAAGAGAAGACAAAAATCCTATTTAGCAAAATTCACATTCTGTGGGAATTTGGTTTTCCTGGAGAGAGTGAAGTGCAGAAGAGCTGCTGATAACAACAGCCTAATCCTCATATATCAGTGCAAAACTATTCAAGTATTTAATCATTTAGAATTAAAATCACCAAGAATCTTTGGGCTGCCAGGAGCTGAGTGTGACCACTCAAATTTTTCTTAATAAATCTCTAAATCCCAGAATGGTTTGGGTTGGGAGAGACCTTGAAGCTCATCTTGCTCCCACCCCACTGCCACACTTTCCCAACCTGCAGCATCCCTGCAAGGGATGCAGAAATCTAAGCAAAAAGCAGACTCGGTCCCTAAAATAAATTCTTAGAGTCTTCCTTATCCAATTTTTAAAACATTGCACTCTTTCCCCTCTCCTCCCAAAAATAATGTTGTCGCCTCCATTATATACATACACGTGTGCAACAAAATGCTGGGGTCATCACTCTGCAAACCCAAAATTTGCTTGGTTTCACAATAAATTATTCCTATATTTAGTATAATTATCTTGCAATCATTATTTGCTTATTTGGCAAATAATTGTCAGTCTCAAACTCTCTCATTTTGCTGCATTTGCTACTTTATTATTATTATTTTAATTGTTGGGTTTGGGGTTGTTTTTCCTTTTTTTTGTGCTTCTCAAAGCATCCAACTGCAATTTCTAGCCCTTGAACGCAAGCAGACAGAAAAGGAAGAAGAAATAAAATACACTGATTTTCCTTCATCTTTGCTTCGGGTTTGAGTTTCATTCACACTTCAGATACAGGTTATTTATAAATCATGGGAAGCTTTGTTTGGAAAGACACTAAAGCTCACACTAAAAGCCACTGAAGGACCAAAACCCAATCTTTTCATGGCTGAACAGATTGGGGTGAGATATCAGAAATCTTAACAAGCCTTCGGAAAAGCAGAGGGTGATGGTATTTATACCAGGAGGGACTAAGGAGAGATAACCTTTCCTTCCAGGAACCTGGATTCACACCCAGGATGAGAAATCTCCCTCTAACACTAAACGGCAGCATGAAACCCCCTCTAGATACTTTCCTTGTCCTGGGAATCAGGACAAGACCCTTCTGTTTTATCTTCTGAATGATGATTACATTGAAAAAAAAAAAAAGAGGAAAAAGAGAAAAAAAGGAGTAGCATATCCTGATCTCAGTTGTCCACCCTAAACCTCCCCTGACTCAGCTTCAGTCTTTCCCTTGGGTTTATGATTTATATGTAACACTTCATTTATAGTTTATATTAACTTATATATATCAACCCAAGTATAGTATCAACCCAAAGCATGATGTGAAGCCACAAATAGTGTGATGGGAATATATATAGTTCGTGTTCACTTATAGTTTATATGTAGCACTTCTAGGCATTTCCAAAGACATTAGTAAGACTACAGTACAATCTCATTTTTCCTTTCCTCCTCCATAATTCATCTGAGAAATTTTTGTAACAGACCTCATCAACTACTTGCTAACTCAACTCCCAGATCAAGCCCTGAGACCTCACCATTTTAACATCCTGTTTTGTGTTTCGGGGGGTGGGAAACAACCAAAAAAAACATTAAACTGGTTGGAATCCAAAACTCTTCTGCCTCAGTGGCTGCAGCTTAAGCAGCCAGAAGAATTCCTACAAAAGTGCCCTCTCAGCAGGACAGAGAAGAGGCTCCACCCCAATGTTTCACAAAGCATCAGCATGGAAAGCAGAGCTCCCCACATGCTTGGGGAACACCACTGCTCTTGGAATTGCAGGAGAGAGGGAAGCACACAGGACTCACCACAGGGGATGGAGAAAGTGCAATGTTGCCTATGGAGGCCTTCAGCTCATCCACGGTGGCTGCGCTCCTCAGGACGTCCTTGGCCTGCAGGGGCTTGATCTTGATGTTGAACTTCTTGTGTGCCTCCTCTTCCTCCTCGGATTCACTTGAGGAGTAGAAGTGCTTTGCTTTGGTAGGTAGAGCACAGTTAAAGAAAGTTTCTTTCTGCTGCCCGGGCACTCCAAGGTTGAAGCCTCCCTGCAGAGCAGGAGTCAGGTGTTCCCCAAATGCTTATCCCAAGTGCCCAAGGGCAGGAGTGAATCCTCCTGCTGTGCCCGTCACTGCTGTGATCTCTCAGTGGTTCATCCATGTGTGGGCAGAGGACATGGGAGTGGTGTTCACAGGGATAATTCCAGTCCTGGTTTAGCCCAGCAGGGGTTTGTATCCACATCTGGATTTCACAGAATTGTTCAAGTTGGAAAACCCTTCTAAGATCACCAAGTCCAACCATTCCCAGCACTGCCAAGGCCATCACTAACCCATGTCCCCAAGTGCCACATCCACACAGCTTTTAAATCCCCCCCAGGGATGGGGACTCCAACACTGCCCTGGGCAGCTGTGCCAGGGCTGGACAGCCCTTTCCAGGAAAAAATTTTCCCAATATCCATCCTGAACCTCCTTGGGCACAACTTGAGGCCATTTCCTTTTGTCCTGTCCCTTGTTCTCTGGGAGCAGAGCTCAACCCCACCTGGCTCCACCTTCCTGTCAGGGATTTGCAGAGAGCAAGAAGGTCCCCCCTGAGCCTCCCTTTCTCCAGGCTAATGTTGGACATGGTGGTCTCCATGGGGCATCCCACATTCCTCACACCTCCTCATTCCACACCAGTGGAGCAAAGGCAATTAAAATCACCTTCTGCCCTAATGCCTCAGGTAATTCCCTCTGGAATTTAGTTTTAGCTGTGGAATGATAGCTCAAAATGAAAATAAAAATGAGGAAATAAATTATGATGAATAATAAAAATGAAATAAAGGTAGTCAAGTGGCCTGCCTGTGAACCCCAGCTCATCTTACAGTTTGTAACCCAAGAGACAAAGCCGACAATAAAGGATATAGCCTGGTTCCTCAGGTCGAATGCTGTATCCCTCCTCATCAAGCTCAGGTGAATTCTGGGTAGGAATATAGAATTAGGAATGTTATTTCTGTTCCTGGAAAGCTGGAGCAGCTCTTTCCTCCTGTGGGAAGTGATGTCCAGCAAAGCTCAAGCCCCTGGGGCTACACAGAGCAAAGGCAACCTGTGTTTTGGCACAGACTTCAAATTTCACAATTAATTTTGCAGTGCTCAATTTTTGCAGGAAAGCATTTTTAATTCTTGGTTGTAAAGCAAGGTTTTCTTTGGATAAAGTACAACATCCCATTGGTCAAGACAGAGGTCTCCAGAGCCACCTTATTTCTGGGCAGTTTTATACAGCCTGATTGACCTGCAGCTATGAAATGGAAATCTGGACACAGCTGACACCCAGACATCACCCAAAAAGTCCAAAAACAGGATGTGGGAACAGCCTGGGTCCCCCAGGGTCTTCTTTATAGGTGTTGGATGAGGGGAAGGTCTGTGGGACACTTACATATCTGTCCCAGTCAATCTCCGCGTAAAATCCATTCGGGGCTCCATTTGTTTTCTTCTGCAACACATTGGAAAAGAAAATTGCCATGTTTTAAATGAAAGAAACAAGAAGATGTCATATCTTGTAGTTGTGCCTTGGCAGGGCTGGGATGTCACTGTGGAACTTCCACACATGCACAGCAGTGAGATACAACAGCATTCCCCATTTCTGGAAGGTCTCCCGTACCAGAGAGATGAAAGGGTGTTTTCAGAACATACATCAGATGAAAATACAACATTTCTTAAGGAAAAGCACCAAATGGCACCATTTCTCCATGTGCTGGGATGCTCCAGCCCATGGGGAGAGCTGGTGGCAGTGGGAGCTCCTGAAGCCTGTCAAGCAAGAGGTAATACCACAATTTATTAGGAGACAAACACCTCCCTCATGAAGGATTCAGATTCTGTTACCCAACATGCCAGGACTTATGGCCCCAGCCCACAGTGATGCCAGGATGGAGGGTGAGAGGTGACTGGGATGATGTCTTTAATGCATATCGTGACACACCAACAAACACAGAGGTTATTGCTGCTTTGGATCAAGGGAATCGGTTTGGAAGGAGGCTTTGGGCACCCATCACCTGGGGAACTCTTTACTGGTCTGCTCTGGGCACCCAAAACCCACCCAAAGCTCCCACTAGCCACCACAGCCAGTGAGGACTTACCTTAGGCTGGGCTCAATTTTGGACCCTTAAATTGGATAATCCAGTTCCCTTGAGCTTCCAGAGGGAGCATCCTCACCCCAGCACCATGCCAAGGGTGTGACACAATGCACTGGTCTGGGGCTGGATCCAGCATCCTCACCCTCCATATCTTACCCATCAGACCTCAAGATGCTGCCCAAGGGTGGAACAGTTTCCTGAGAGGATCAAGGAGGAAGAAACATCCTCTGGATGCCCTTCCGTGGCACTCCTGCTTTTCCCCCATCCATTTCCATTTAACCCCATTTCTATCAACCCACATACATCCTAGTTGAAGCTAGAGAGTGTTTTCCTATATTCTGGATTTCAAACCAAGAAGGACTCACTGTTTGTAAGGACCCTTTGGTAGCTGTGAACCGAGCTCTGTTTTCCTTACCGAGTTATTTCCTCCTTCCCGCACACTCTCAGGTTTGCTATTGCAAGATGGATCATTGGGATGAGGGCTGGGCTGCTGCAAGGGATGGGGGGTGGCAGAAAAAGGGTTAAAGTCTCTGCTCCTTGGTTGTTGGTTTTTTAAATACACAAAAATAAGCTACAAGGAACTAGCAAACACTGATTTATGAGGAAAGGAGGGCTCAGCTGTGGCTCCATCAGGATTAAGCACAGTTTTTACTGGGGGCTCTATTCAGCAGTTGGAGGATTTGCCTCTTGGCTACTCCAGTGGCTGCAAATGTTATGGGAAGAACATGTTTTAGGAGGAAAAATTATATTTAACATCTTCATCTCCAATTCCCCTGTTTTAAATACATTCAGTAGCTTCATTATGCGTCCCAAAAATTGCATTTCTGCATCCTTCAGCTTGCTGGAGCACTGGAGAGCCTTCCCTGCACCCCCCTCAAACAACAAGCCACCCAGAAAACAAGAGTAGGAGCCCCATGGAGAGGGCACCTGAGCTCACCTGAGGTCCCTGCACCCACATCTGGCAAGGAAAAGCTGCCCATGGCATTTCTGTGGCAAAGGGAACAGCTCTGGGCTGTTCTCTGCACATTCACAGAGTCATTATCGTTGGAAAGGCCCTCCAAGATTGAGTCCAATCTATGTCTGATCCCCACCTTGTCACCCAGCCCAGAGCACCGAATGTCACGTTCAGTCCTCCCTTGGACACCTCCAGGGATGGGCACTCCACCACCTCCCTGGGCAGCCCCTTCCAATGCCTGACCACCCCCCTTTCCAGGAAGAAATTCCTCCTTATGTCCAACCTGAACCTCCCCTGGCACAGCTGAACCTGAACCTGTTAATGTTATTTATCCATTTACCACTGCTGAACAGAGCCCTGGTTAAAGTGTTGCCTGAGCTGCTGACTGTTTTAATCTCTATTTCTGAACAAGTTTACAGGCACAGAGCAAGCCTAAAGCCAAGGATTTGGGGTCAGATGGAGAAAAAAACTAATTTCTTGGAAGGAGCAGCTTGGTACCTTAATTTTTGTATGGTTTTAGAAAGACACCCCAGCACTGCTCTCCCTCATGAGCCTCCCAAGGGGCTCGTTTTTATTTTAAGGTGAAATTTTAACATAATTTGCTCAAGAAATAAAGCCCAGCACAGTCCCAGTCTGAACACAACATACTTATTGATATCAAATGGCTAAAGGAGACAGGGTCCATTTACTACCCAGACCTAGCAGGGGCATTTCTGCCTAACACAAGAAATAAAAGCAGCAATAATTAAAAAAAACCTCAAGTATCTCCTTGTTTTCAGGTTAATATAGAAAATAAAAATAGATATTGTAAACAGCTGCTCTGGCAATTTCCCCTTAACTCCTCACACAGCAAATCTGACCAAAGCCAATTAGCAGGAAAGGAAACAAGGATGAAGAGCCGAGGGTTTTAACAGGACACCTGGTCCCTCTGCCCCTGGAGCTCCTCAGGTCTCCCTGTATTGTTATTTTCTTCACATTAATTTTGCAGGAAACCTGGAATAGGTCATTGTTTCAAAGAGATTCTTACTGACATTTGTTTTCTATATTAAACAGAAATGAGGAGACTGTTCACAAAATGCTGATGGTGGTGGGTGGGAGAAGTGACACTTTAGGGGCCACAGTGGGAGTGGGACTGGAGTCTGGGCAATACTTACAATGCCATCCCTGTCTGGTGACCCCCTGCAAAGAACAGAAAGAAACAGAGCTATGTTAATGCCCAAACCACACCAATGCTTAATTAACTTCTGGAAATGGTTTTCTTAATGAATCCACAGCAGCAACGGTTGTAATTATGAAATTATCAGCAAACCTGCATTAACTGTCCCACATGCTCCTTGTGAAACCCACTCAATGGTCTCAGAGCCATTGTACTCTCATTATCAGATGACAAATTTTATGTTTATTAATGATAAAGTGCTCCTGCTGATGGTCTGTCCTGGCTGAGGAGTTGGGCTGGCTCCTTGCACCCATCCCATGGCCACATCCCTACTCCAGCTCTGCATCCTTGGTCAGAAGACAGAAACCATTTCCAGAGTAATTCTGAGATTTTTCTTCTGCCAGAAGGACAGTCACTTCTCTTTGGAATGGATTTGAAAACTGATGAGGCTCCTCAGGGATCCTAATCCCCAAGTGATTATGGGATTTGGGCTCGGTCACGGCAGCTCTGCAGCCACATTTCAACACTGCCCAGGGATGCCAGCTATTTAATGAAGACAAATGTTTATGGAATCCAGACGGGCTCCTCCACCTCCCACGCGCTCCTGAGTTTTATGCATTGCCAGGGATTTGCCACCAATTCATGTCTGACTCAAGGTATCATGGTAACCCTGCCGGGAGCTGTTTGTTTTAACAAGGAGTAACACCTTTCCTTGGACTTCTCCAACCTATACGTGTCTTAGTCCCATCTCCCCTATCTCCTGCTTAATCTCTTCGCACAAATGTCTCTGAAACTCTTTGTATGAAGAAAAAGAATCTCTTCTGCATTTCCTCCCCACATAGGGGATGTCATCTGCTCATATCCTGGCTAGAATTGCTGTGGAGATTATAACTGCTCATCAGGTGGAGGGGAAGAGGTGGAAGGTCCTCCACCATGGTGTTGCAGCTCCAGCACAACCCACATCTCCTCAGGACCAGGCAGCACCTCCAGAGTCCCCCCACCATAGTGCCCACCACCAGGACCTGGGGCCGTGGTGGCATGGCCATAGCAGAGGGTGACAGGGGCCTGTCAGAGCCCATCACTCTCCCAGTGCCCCTCCCAGCCCCAACGGGGGACTTGGAGAGCGCTCGGAGCCGTCCGAGGCTGTGACTGCGCTGCGACCCCGTGCCGTGCTAATCACTGCTGTGCTAATTGCAGTGTCCTCCACAGTGGCCTCGCTGCGAACTCATTCCCACCCCCAGCACCCCAGGATTCCTTATCTCCCGTGCCACTGGCTCCCACAGCCGCTCGGAAGGGCAGGATGGAGCAGGCATGGAAAGCACAGTGCTGGGTGAGGCAGGAGAGAGACCTGGCTCTGTCGCATTCTGTTTCCCCTTCTCGTGGAAAATCAAAGCAGGTTGATTCCTGCCCATCCTTCTGATAAATTGTAGGTGAAGCCATACATGGCTGGAGCTCTTGGCTGTCCCACTGATTGCCGGGCTGATGGATGGATGTCACCATTCCCAGTGATAAGCCACTCTGCCAGCCAGAGAACATCTCAGTGCTGCACAGCCCTACTTTGGGATATGCTCCATGTCCACCTATTTTCAGGCCCCTCTTTGCAACAAAGACCTGCACCAGGCTCACCATGGCCCCAGGTGCATGGCCAGGCCTTGCAGATGTCCTTGCACAGGAAATCTCCAAACCCACAGCCACCAAAACATAAAATAGCTCAGAAAAACAAATCCAAATTAAAAAAAAGAAACAAAAAACACCTTTGAGTTTCTGTTGTGCCAGACATTAGGCACCTGCATGATGCCGCAGATGCAGGAATGGGGCTCCCTGCTGCCTTTCCCCTGCTCTGTTCCCAGTCTATGGATGGCACAGGCTCCTTTGTCACACTGCTTTGGCACATCTACCCCAAAGCCATAGCAGTGGTGGCCAATCACTGAGGTTGGAAAAGCCCTCTCAGACCATGGAGTCCAACCATTCCCCAGCACTGCCAAGGGCACCTCATGAGTTGCCAAGGGCCTCCAAGTGCCACATCCACACAGCTTTTAAATCCCTCCAAGGATGGGGACTCCACCACTGCACTGGCCAGCCTGTTCCAATACCTGACAGCTCTTTCCATGACGAAATTTTCCCTTATATCCAACTTAAGCCTCCCCTGGTCTGAGATAATGCAATTTCCTCTCATACTGTCCCTTTTTCCCTGGGAGCAGAGCCCGACTCTCACCTGCCTTCACCTTCCTGTCAGGGAGTTGCAGAGAGCCTAAAGGTTCCCCCTGAGCCTCCTTTTCTCCAGGCTGAGCACCCCCCAGCTCCCTCAGCCTCTCCTTGTGCTCCAGACCCTTCCCCAGAACAATCCCTGGACTGGTATCAGCACCCCACCAGCAGCTCTGCACCGCCACACAGCATCCCCTGCCAGATGTGGGAAGATCCCCCCCCACCACACGTTTTCCTGGAAAGCAAAATCATCTCTCACAGCAGAGGCAAAAGATCTTGTGCTCCACCAGCCCCCTGCTCCCCATTGTCCCGAGCCTGGCCCAACCACACAGCCCCTCCCCACCACTGCCTCACTGCCTGCTCAAGCATCTCTTTAAATTGAATTGGCATCTATAAAGAGCTCAGCAGACAAGGCAAACCAGTAGTTTGGGCAGAGATTATTCTGCTGAAACTCTCAGAGGAGTAGTTTTGCTCTGATCACCACTCACTGCCATCATAAATCGCGCACACACACAGAGAACCTGCATGATCATCTCTGCAGTGACACCAAGGAAACCCCTGATTTGTTGGTCACTGGATGTAGAAGGGAAAGCAGCTTCAGTGTAGTTGTTATTAGAGACTTGATCTAATAAATGCCTGTGATGGCCCAGCTTCCTGCCTGTCCTGGTGCAGTGGCATAAGCTGCTCCCTGGCATCATTATACATTAATATGGTTTATATCCCATGGACTCACGTGGAATCAGTGTCCTTTTCTTTCTTCCGTATACCAAAGGCCTTCCTGGTACGTTTTTTCAATCCTGTGGGTACAAGGAAAACAAATAAAAATGCAATATTAATATAAAACTTCAAGTATATCCCCTAAAAGGTTCCTTATTCCCTTGCTGGCTGTAATCCATAAATAAGGTAAAACATGGAAAGAGCCAAACCCCAGAAGCTGCCAGCAGGACTTTGCAGGTTGTGTGTACATTTGCTTATGCCATTTATTTGTTCACTTAACACTTATTAACTTGATCTCAGCTTGTGGGACTCTATTTCACAGTTAATATTTCTAAGCTTTCTGTCTTAATCACACCCTCATGCTGCGTGTGGGCTCTAATGCATGAAGGGGAAACCCCTCTTTGGTGTTAAAAATCCATTTAAACCATGAGGTTGGTTATCTTCTGCGCTGATTCTTGATCTGTACAGTGCTTAAAATGATGTCTGGTAGCAGTAATGCTGGAGCTAGATGGAAAGTGGGAAGTCCTGGAAGCCCCAGAGCCCATCAGGGCATCAGTCACCACCACAACACTTGGAAACCAGATAGAGGAGAGTGGGTTTCTCCAAGTTCTCCCTCTTTTTGCAGAATCCCAGACTGGTTTGGACTAGAAAGGATCTTAAAGTTTATCTCATTCCTAGGCAGGGACACCTTCCACTAGTCCAGGTTGCTCATACACCCCCGGCCTATGGGATCCATATGTCCCAGCTGCCAAGGGCAGCACAAGCAGCTGGACCCCACAGACTCATCCTGCACCTTCATGGACAGTTTTGGTGTTACTACATCCATGCCTTTCAGCTTTCCTGCTTTTTTCAGGACTCAAATGAGCCATTAATAACAGAGGAACATTCCCACTAATCTCCCCCCTGGAATAACTTCAGCCTCCAAACTTAAATTAGAGCAGGAAAGGCCAAAACCCCCAGAAATGAGTTGTTTAGTCTTCTCTAAAGAAGCACCCAATGTGGCTAAATTTTGTAACACAGCCTTCTGCTCAGTTATATAATAGGCCCACCATCTGCTTGAAGTGGTTATGATTGAGGGAAAGAGGGATATTTAGGAAAGGAAGAACAAAATTACATTTTCTTTGGAGATGGCTGTTGGGAGCCAGCGGAAGCAGGTCCCCCATCAAGCCCCACCTTCACCACAGGGCAAGGCACTGACTGCCCTGATGGTGACACCAGAAAGGTCTTCAGGCCAGTGGGGGATGACCAAGTGATTTCCCAGGATTTTCCCAGAATTTTGGTGGCTGCAGCTCCGAGGAGCTTGTGTCTCCCCTGACATGGTGAGACACCCCATCCAATGGCGCAGGGGCTGAGCTGAGAGTTGTGCACAGAAAGGCCCTGCACACCCTGGGCCTCAAGTCTCCTTTCAGCTGTTTTGAGTAGTTGAAGGATGATAAAACTTGTCCTGGCAAGAGCAATCCTTTTGAAAATAATAATAATATCTTGTCCATGGAGGGAATGCTCCGTGGAGACACTATGGATTCATGGGAACCTCACAAGACAAGAGAGATCCTCTGCTGGAAGAGAAAAGGTGATGGTAAGTGGGACAGACAGCAGAGAAGAGTCAGTGAAGCAGCAGAAAGGCTGAAAGTATGGAAGAAAGCACGAAAGAAAACAGAGTATATCCATATGGGGTATAATTCATATTTAATTTACTATTATCTTTTTTTCCCTTAGTATAACCAAGAATTGGTGTCTGAGAAACAGAAACTACTATTTCAAAATATGTAAAGCTTCACAGTGTTTTCTTGAGAATTACCAACATCTTATTTTCTACACCAAAGACTTCATATCTCTAGAAGAAAAACAACCCTGTTCTCCCAAACCCAGTCCCTTTCCCTCCAACCCCACACAGCTGGAGCAGCTGCTGCCTCTGGACCCCCAAATATTGAGGGGGGGTCCCTGGAGAAGGAGTTACTTGCTCAGGAGGACGGAACTCATAAGCAACATATCTCTCAAGAGGAGAGACAGAGTATTAATGCTCTTCTGGGAAAACTAAAGAAAATAATGATTGAAATTAGTTCTACTTTATCTGCACACAGAGAGAAATATTATCCGTGGCTGAGACTCATGACCAAAGTACCTGGGGAGGGGGAAAGAAGGAAGGGAGAAGAATATGGTAGGGGAAGAAGAAAGTCACTATTAGGTTTGGTTTTCCTTTGGTTTGGTTATGTGG